AAAAACTCAGCTGTCGCCCCAACACCACCTTGTTAGATACACATTGGCATATACGCACGAAAATGGCTACTGTGAATAGCTTTGGGGCAGAACCGTTAGAAAATTTTAGTTCGAGCGTGCAATTTTAGCATAGAAACTTGTCGTAAAACGTTACACCTTTTGTTAAAACTTAAGACGCCAGCTAAAAAAATATCAAATTGTATTGAATACTACAATAAAATCTATCTTTTGGTGACAAACTAATTCAATTTTCGCACCTACACAGAACATCCCTATAGAGCGTGTGAAATACCAGTCATGCCACCGAAAGAAGCAAACCAATGTAAGACCAGGAATCAACTTCAAGAGCGTTTGGTTGCGGAAGTTAACACTCAAAGATATGAAGCTAATGAAGCACATATGAAAGTGGTACAACAATTGCTTGGATGGGCCCTTTTGAATGGTCTTGGGTCGTGTACCGAAGGTATGGGAATGCTGCAACCTATGAACAACCAATCTAGCCAATGTGGAGATAATGTTCAGGGGGCGAGTTTGTCAAAAAAAGCTCGAAAGCGTTTGCGACGTCGGCAACGAGCAGAAGCTGAAAGTGCTGCAGCTGTACGCGCCGGAGCTACTACGCCAAAGGTTAATACAACTGAGTCCGTTGCACCAAAGACGAAAGAACAACCTCCAAACGTGCCGGTACAAGCCGGTATGCTCCATGATCTGGCTGTACAATTTCGCAGTGAAATTTGTGTATTAAAAATGCTTTTTGATTCTGAATTACAAGAGAACCCGGCATCAACACTTAAAAATAAACCAATTGTAGCGGAGATAAATATAAACAACAAGAGTCTACTTTCAAAAGGAGCTATCAAATCTATACGCACCACAATCCTAAGGACGATTGAAAACTATCAAGTATCTAAAAAAAACAACACCCTTATTTTATAGCATGACAAACAATAATACATACATAAACATTTTATGTGAAGATGAATATGCATTTGAGTGCTTGAAAGATTCCGTTGTGCAAATGAAGAGCTTAGGCAGAGTATGCTTGTCCACTTTAGAACCGAATGCGGGCCGTTTGTATTGTATGAGTGTCATTTATACGGGACTTATTGATGATCCAATGAAATTCCTATTGCATGTGCGTTTGCAGCATCCGAAAATACGCACTGATTACTGGATTATTGCGAGCAGCAAAGTATGTACAGGAACGCACGAAACCCAATTCTTGTTTCTGGTGGACGAGCTGTCGGCACTGGCGCTGGAATATCAATATCGTTATAGACTTTTTATTTGCTTAGAGGAAGCGTTGTTCCACAACCATGGACAGTTGCCGAATTTGTTTTAGTATCGAATGGATCGACGTATGTACATGGCCTAATACACACCTATGTATTTTTAATGGATATGTACGTACTATTATGTTAAAAAATGCTGTTATCCTTTCGAGATAAATTTCCATAACTTTTAGCTTCTAATATATTTACATATGTATGTATGTATGGAGTACACAATTTTTTTTTCAAAAATCTTATGAATAAACGCAGTTCACACATCGAACCCATTTGGGATATTATTTAGCAAGTTTTGTTAAAATATACATCATATATTAAATTACTTAATATTTTGCTACACACATTATCGAATTAGCATTTATTAACCAGAGCCTTGTAAAAATCAAACTTCGTACAATTTTTATGTTTCGTTGTAGCCTTTACTGGGCTCTCTTTAGCTCGCAAAACTGTTTTGCAAAGAGGTTCGAAATCGGAATTAATATACTGGTGTCTGCCTTTTTTAATTTTCGGTTCAGCTTGCTTTGGCACCGGTATGATTGGGTTAAATACCATCTGCGTACTATCGAATTGATCATAAAGTTCGTGGGAGGTACTGAGAATAAATAAAATAGATTTAAAATATAAATAACAATCGCCCAAGCTATATCGATCACTCACAGTTTGCCAATTTCCGGCGGCAGCGCACCCTCTCCCGATGCCGGCACACCACTTGCTATATGCATGGCCATCTTTCGCACCGTTGGGTGATAATGACGTGAAAGCAAGGTCAACTCGTAAAGCGCTGTACTTGCCGCATTGCAATACTCGGGATCCTCTAACTCTGGATCATAGTTACCGGATCCTACGCTTGTATCTGTATCAAGTAAAATATCCAAAATTGATGTCAATTGGAACGTTGTCTTTATAGTGCCGAGTGTTGCCAGGGTGCCGTGATGCAGTAGATGCATGCTGAGGGTTAGTAAGCGTTTTATAAACGCCATTAAACGTTGCTGACTCATGTTACGGCGTCTTTTCACTAAAACTTCATCCAAGGTGCCAAGTATTATGCGAAAATCGTCATGATTCTTTCCTGCGTTTACTGTAAGCATATTTCTGTAGAAGTGCTGATAAAATCGAATAGGATCTATATTCAGCACTTCACCCTGACCAGAGAGTATGACAAAAATGGTTTTAATGCAATGTAACTGCTCACGATAACCAAGATCCATTTCTTCCAATATGCGATTCAGCACTTCTATTAAGTCTGAGAAGAAATCCATGTTGATGACGTGGGCAAATCTGGAAGACAAATATCACAGAAAACGTAATAAATCGTGTTTTAATAATTCCATACAAATCTATTGACATTTACTTACTCTGCTAATCCCTCTAAAATAGCGCTCAGCACTTTCGAAGTTGGATCATTTTTTAAAACACGGAAGTAAATTGTAAAAACCATTTTGGTTATTTCCGTCAGTTTATATAGTTTCGTTTGTTTATTTTCTTCCGCCCGCGTTTCGTCCAACTCCTTAGTCACCTCGGTTAATTTCTTCCTCCGCTTGCGCTCCTTCTTTGATAAACTCATCAAACGCTGCCGATGTGCCTCCAACTTTTTTTGCTTCAACTCATTCTCCTTCTCAGCATCTAAGTTGACATTTTTAATCTTAAGCGAAAGCAAGCAAGTGAGACATTCCACATGCACATTCGGTAGTTTTGTCTTTATCAAGTGATTTATACGTCTCACAATATACAGTGTCATATCCAATTTCTTATCGTTCGCAAAAAACTGTGCGGAAACACTTGTTGATTTCTTCTCGTATATTCTGATAGCGGCAGTTCAACATGTAGACCAACAACTGTGCGACATTCTGTACATAATTAAAGTATGGATGTGCGACGAGTATATCACACATACTTTGCACTGCTACTTCGGCCATCTTCACCGACTGTGCGGTGACACGCCCTTGTCCACGTTTATTCACAGCACCTGTTAGTTTTTCAAGTTTCTGCAAAAACTTCTTGAACTGCTGCAAAAGCGCATTTTCGTAAGTCACTCTTTCAAGCGTTGCTTTTCGCACTGAAATATTAACAAACCAAGCATTTTAAATC